CCCCCGTTCCTGCCTTTCCCAGCCCCTAGACCCCACTTTCCTCAACACTGGGTATCCCTGGACTCCCTTTTCCTGGGCAGAGGGACCCCCTGAACCTCCATCCCACCTCCCCCAGTTCCCTCATCCCCCTGACCCTGGGACCCCTCTGAACCTCCATTCCTGGGAATGGGGAACCCACTGCACCCCTGACCCCCCTTCTCTGGGACTGGGATGTCCTGCATGCCCTTACTGGGCACTGGGACCCCCCTGAACCCCTATTTCCGCACATGGGACCCTCCTACACCCCCTTATGTGGCAGCAAGACCCTCCTGAACTTCCATTCCAGCCATCTCGCCTCTCCCAGACCCCAGACTCAGCTTTTCCTTGACCCTGAGACCCCCTGGACCCCCATTCCTGCCTTTCCCAGCCCCCAGAGCCGCCTTTCTTCAACACTGGCAACCCCTGGGAGCTCCTTTCCTGGGCACAGGGACCCCTGAACCTCCATTCTGGGCACAGGGATCCCCCTGCAGCCCCTCACCCTGCGCTGGGACCCCCTGAACCCCGTTATTCTCAACAAATACCCCCCCTGTGCACCTTTTCCTGGCAATTCTGCCTCTCCCAGCCCCCTGATCCTCCCTGGGACCCCCTGGAGCCCCACTCCTGCCTTTCCCATCCCCCAGACCCAACTTTACAGCAGGGACCACTGGACCCCCCTTTCCTGGGCACAGGGACCCCTTGGATCCCCTATCCCACTTCTCCCAGTCCCAGCCCCTCCTTTCCTTGAACCTTGGACCTTTCCCGGCTCTCCCAGCTCTCCCAGTTCCTCTTCCTTGACCCTTGGACCCCCCAGACCCGCCAATCTCTGTGACCCCCCCAGTTCTCCCCTCCCTGTGCTTCCTGCAGGGGGTCCCAGGCACTGGGAACACCCTCGATGGCAATTCCTGGGCACAGGGACCCCCCTGAACTTCCATTGCCTGGCACAGGGACTCCCTGAATTTCCATCCCTGGCACAGGGACCCCCTGAACTGCGAGTCCTGGAGACTTCCTCCTGCACTCCCTCCCCCAGCACCTGGACTTCCCTAAATGCTCTTATCCTGCAGCAGGAACCCCTGAACCCCCATTCCCGGGACTGGGAGTCCCCCTGAACCCCCTTCCTGGGAAGGGAACGCCCCCTGAACACCCATTCCTGCTCACGGGGGTCCCCCTGAATCTCCATTTCCAGGCACAGGGATCCCCCTGCACCCCCTGATTGAGCACTGGGACCCCCCTGGGCCCCCATTCCTGGGCACTGGGACACCACTGAACCCCCCCATCTCCAGTTCCTGGACCCAATGGAACCCCCGTATTCTGCACGATCACCCTCCTGCACCCCCTTTCCCAGCCATCCTGCCTCTCCCAGACCTCAGACCCCCCCTTTTTCTTGACCCTGGGATCCCCTGGACCCCCATTCCTGCCTTTCTCAGCCTCCAGACCAAACTTTCCTCAACATTGGGGTCTCCTGGACCCCCCTTTCCTGGACACAGGGACCCCCTCAACCTCCATCCCTCCTCTCCCAGTGCCCTCACCCACCTTCTCTTGACCCTGGGACTCCCCTGAACTTCCATTTTTGGGAATGGGACCCCCCTGCACCCCTGATTCAGCACCCAGAACACCCTGACCCCCCTTGTCTGGGACTGGGACCCCCCTGAACCCCCATTCCCAGGCACGGGAATCTCCCCCCCTCCTCCATTCCCACGCACTTGGACCCCCCCTGCACCCCATCCCACAGAGCTGGGACCCCCCTAAACCACCTTATCCAACACAAAGACCCCTCTGAACCCCCAATTCTGGGTATGGGAACCCCCTGCACCCCCATTCCTGGCACAAGGACATCACAGAGACACCC